AAAGGGGATTGTGTTTCCATAGGATAGGTTTTTGGCAAATCGGGGAACTTTGCAGGAGTTAGTTTTAAGACACCAAGAGAAATAAGTTACTAACCTTTCTGTAACTGTTCTTCGAAATGTGTTGCACTGTCCATTCCAATGTAGGAGTGTGCACATCCCGAGCACACTTGCCGGAATTTTCCCCCCTAGTGGTATCCATTGGGTTGTCTCCAGCATCTCTGGTGTCCCGCGCTCATAGCGCTGGTATAAAGGGCCCTTCTTTGATTGCTTGTACATGTCCATTCCAATGTAGGTAACTCACAAGCTTGTACAACTGCTTGTGAGTTACCAGCTCCCCTTTGAGCTATGTTGCACATGTCCATTCCAATAAACTGAAATGGAGGGAAGGTTTGGGAATGGACATGTGCAACATAGCTCAAAGAACAACAGTTATGGGAAGGTTAGTAACTTTTTTCCTTCTTTGATTGCTTGTACATGTCCATTCCAATGTAGGTAACTCACAAGCAGTTGTACAGGAGGTGGATTCAGAGTTCAAGGGCAGGCTGACTGCAATAATGCATGGCCAAAGCATGCGTTTCTAGCCTGCTGGGTAATGGCATAGTGCGTTGCAAACATGGACTGACAACCAGGTTGCTACCCTGCAGCTGTCCTGAATCAGGACTTGTGCTAGGAAAGCAGTAGAGGAGGCTTGAGACCTTGTGGAGTGAGACATCAGATTAGCTGGGGCGGGGCGAGATGCCCATGAGTTCATAAAACACCCGGATGCAAGAACTAATCCAAGATGAGATTCTCTGTGCGGAGATGAGGAGACCCTTATTCTTTCTGCTGTTGTGAACAGTTGAGTAGATTTGCGGAATGGTTTTGTCCTATGTATGTAGAAAGCCAGGGCCCTCCTAACAGCTAAAGAGTGAAGGCTCTGTTCCTCTGTTCACATGTGATTTAGGGTAGAACAGCAGTAGGAAGATTGCTTGATTGCACTGGAATTGTGAGACCACCATCATAACTGAGCTTTGTCCTTGAAGAAGACCATATATGGGGGCTCCGATGTGAGGGCCTGGATTTCTAAGAATCTTCTGGCTGAAGTGATGGCCACTTTCCAGAAAAGGGGTAACAGCAAACACTTTGCTAGGGGCTCAAATGGACCCCATAAGCTTTGACAGGATGAGGTTCAGGTCCCAGGGAGGGACTGGATCTGTAACCTGGGGTACACCGTCTTCAGGCCTTTAAGAAAACAGATCACCATCTCGTGAAAAAAATGATTGATTGGTTGTCAACCTTGGGATGGAAAACAGATGGCTGCTAGTTGAACCCTGACTGAAGAGACAGCTAAGATCTCGTTGTTTCAGCAGTAGGAGGTACTCTAAAATGAGCTGCAGGGAGGACTGCAAGGGTGAAATTTGCTGTTGGGAGCACCAGGTGGAGAAATGCTTCCATTTTGCAAGACCGTGGCCCTGGTGGAGGGCTTTATACTGCCCAGTAGGATCTCATGGGCCTGCCCCCAGCAAGCTTGGTCCTCCAGATTAAGCAATGGACCTTCCAGGCCATCAGATGAAGAGAGCTGAGGTTCGGGTGGAACAGCCAACCAGGTCCAGCTGCAGCAGTGCCTGAGAGACCTCAGAGGGGGGTGAGCCAATGATGCCTGAGTCATGCTGGGCCTATGAGAATGACTTCACTTGATCTTCATCAGAACCTTGTGAATTAGTAGGGTAGGAGGAAATGCGTAATACAGGTGTCTTGTCCATGGTGAGGGACCTTGGGCTCTGAACTTGCAGTGAGCAGAACTGATGGCATTTCCTGTTGCAGGTGGCAAATAAGTCTATAAGGGGAGCCCCCCCATGGTTGGAAGTTGTCCCTCATAATGTCCAGTCAGAGAGACCACTTGTGAGAGGAGAAAAACGTGCTGAGGTGATCTGCCAGCTGGTTCTGTGTTCCCAGTAGGTAGGATGCTTTCAAGCTGATGGAATGAGCAATGCAGAGCTCCCACAGGTGGACTGCTTCCTGACATAAGGGAAGAACACATGCTGTCCTGCCTATGTAGACCCTGGCTGTTGTATTGTCCATGAGAACCAGAACAGTCTTGCTCGTAATGTGAGGGGAAAAATGCCTGGCAGGCTAGACAAACTGCCCTGAGCTCCCTGACACTGATGCGGAGAGCTCTTGGGACCAGGGGCCCTGAGGGACCCTAGATGGGCTCCCCAGTCGAGGGCTGATGCTTTAGATGCTACAGAGAACAATGAGTGATACCTTGAGAAGGGTACCTCTGAACATACCATGTGATTCAGCCACCATGTCAGTGAGCTCTGGCAGGCACCATGAGCACTGAGTCCAGATGATAGAGGGAGTATACTGTGGCTAGCTAGGCTTGGGGAGGTCTGAGATGTAGCCTCACATGTTGTACTATATATGTGCATAATGCCATGTGGCCCAAGAGGCTCAGACACTTTCACAGTGTCATGATCGGATGAGCCTGGAGGGACCTTATCAGGGATGTAACTGTATGAAAATGATGGTCTGTGGCAGGGAGACCCCCGGTGCCACTACAGCCTTGTGAGGAGTCGTCTATAATGGGCTGAGGATCCTCCATTGGTTCCTTGCTGTCTGCAGGGGCCTGTGGGGTTTCTTCCTAAGGCTCGGTACCGAAGCCCAGATCAGTGGTGTCTTGGCACAGTACAAGGGTGCCCTAGCCTCAGACAAGAGCGTGATTGTGTTGAGGTGCCCTGTTGGGGAACCCCCCCCCAGAGTTCCAAAATGGCCACTGCATAGCTGCTGGTCCCCATGGAATTGCTGTCCTCTCAGCCGTGGTGGAACAGGAATAGCCCAGGGAGCAGTGAGCTCCACTGTGGTGATGAGGAGAATAAGATCCCACCTCCAAATCTGACGAGGAAGCTGAGCTGCGAGGCAGAGACCAGGGCGGTGTGGTACTCCTTGTTGCCAGAGATGGGCCCTGGGGTGGAGATCTTGAGGCTGTCAACGGGGCTTTTCCCCCGAAGATGGTGGCCGTGGCACCGAGTGAAGTCTTGGAGATGGCACTACTGGTGCCACCACGCAGGAGAGTTAAGTATTGACTTTCTAGGGATGCTGGTACCAATAGGGTGAGAAGGTGTCAGGAGTTGACGGTACCACAAACTGGTTGGTATGCTGTCTGCCCTGATGAGGTGGCTCCTGTGCTGAAGTCTACGGTGCTTGCAACAGCACCAGGATTGCAGGCACCTGATGTGGTGCCAGGGGAGAAAAGAGGCCTGACATGGGTCTCATTCTATCCTAGTCTCCTTTTGCCTTTGGCACCAGGGAGCAAATCATCTCTTGATATTTATGGTGCTCCTGCTTTGTCTTCCCACATGCCTATCAGTGCCAAGAATCCCAAGTAATGGGAGGAGTGCTCTACACAACGGCTGAGGTGTTCAGTGTAGAGTCTCAGCACAGTTTGGAGGCAGGTTTTAAGGCTGCCTCCATGAGGATAACTTGCAGTCTTGCTGCTTGGTCCTTTTTGGTTCTGGGATCTGAAGTCCCTGCACTCTTGGCAGCGGTCTTCCCTATGAGTTTCCCCCAAGCACTTGAGACAACTTGAATGCATGCTCACTCATAGACTTACCACAGGAGGCACGCAGGACTTAAAACCTAGTGACCAAGGCATGCCCCAGCACTGGGGAAGCAGACGACCCTACTAGCTAAGCGTGGAGGTGTCAAACTATCTAAGTTCTAAAAATTATTAAACTACTAACTATAATAACTATTTACACTAAGGACTGTCTGAACAAAAAAGGGTTCCAGCAATCATCACAGGTGGTAAAAAGGAACTGAAGCGTTGGTGGGACTCTTTATATCAGCGCTTTGAGTGTGCGACACCGGAGGTCACTGATTACTAGGGAAAAAAATTCCAGCAACTGTGCTCAGAGCACACATGCACCTACACTGTAATGGACATGTGTATGTGACATTGTTTTATAGTTTGAAATTTTTCATGCCATAGGCTGTGTCTACACTACGGTGGTAAGTCGACCTAAACTATACAACTCCAGCTACGTGAATAATGTAGCTGGAGTCGATTATACCTAAGGTCGAGTTACTGCTACGGTGGGATCTACATCACGGGGCGTCGATGGGAGAAACTCTCCTGTCAACTTACCTCACTCTTCTCGTCGGGGGTAGAGTACGGGGGTCGACTGGAGAGCGATCTGCTGTTTGATTAGGAGGGTCTTCACTAGACCAGCCAAATTGACCACCAGTGGATCGATCTCAGAGCATCAATCTGGGCTGTAGTGTAGACCTGCCCATAGTAATCTAACTTTAAGTAGAACATTTTAAGTCACTTTTCACTGCAGCTCCGCATTTGTTGAACAAAAACTATTTAAAGTACACATACTTTTAGATCAGTGCTTCTACCTGTTAAACCCAGTGAACATTTTTTGTTTCTGGTAAAACTCTAGCACTACACGTGTTATGGCTTACTGGTCAGAATGTGGACCATACTGCATAATCTAAACACCCCTGGGATAAGTTCTCAAAATAGTCAAACCACCAGTAGACTACTCAAAATGTGAAAATAACTAAAAAAAAATATCAGACCAGCACAATAACCTGCCTTATTCACAAATTCACCCTCATGGTGTCTTTTGCTCTTCAAAAGCCTCAATAAATGGGCCTTTCAGTTTGCCTTGATGTCAGTAGATTTAGGCTACACCACAAAAGGGGGTGAGTTCCAAAGCCTGTACCTGTGGTGTATCTAGAAATAGACCAAAAAGTGTACTGTTAATTTAAATTGCCTTTCTACATTATGTACTCCCTGCCTGGAGAGGTATTTAAAGTAGATCTGGTAGGGAGCATCACTCCTGCATGCAAACTCATTTATATTTTGAAACAATATGTAAGTTACTAACATGCTTGAAGGTGTTGTGGAAGAAAATAATTTCTTCACCCAGTGGGGCAGTCATCTCCTATGGGTAATAATGAAGTATCAGTGGCTTTGCAGATTGCCCACAGAGGCACCTTTTTGAAATGTCCCTCTAGCTATTCAATATTAAATACAGTATAGAGATCCACTAGGTGTTGTCCATATTAAAGTTGCATAGGTTTAACTAAATTTTAAATCCTTTAAGTTCAAATGTCTAATGAAGACACACCTCTTAACTCTTGCCTAGCTTAGCTTACATTGATCATTACTGATGCAAGCTAAACCAATGTTGAGGGTTAATCCAGTATAACTCATCTATTTTACATTATTTAAATGCGTTTAACTTATTTAATGTAGACCTTTTCTAGAGGCTAATAAAGGCTGAAACCAGCTTCCACTATAAATCCATGTTTTAACCACACCCAATGATTTTAGTTTGGAAAATTGGTTTGGTCTGATTGTGAGAGTGAAGGTAATAGTACTTATGTAAAGCTTGAAGACTGTCATTGTTTTGTGTTACATGTGACTTGAAATAAATCCTGATTTGAAATGTTAACAGTTATGTAGAATTTAAAGAGAAGGGACTATTAGATCTAGTTTGACCTTGTAGCTCACAGCTCATTAACTCAATTTATCTCTATTACTGAGCCCATAATAGGCCTTGTATTGGGCTTAACTAGACTTTCCAGAAAGGCATCCAGTATTTATGTGGAGAATCCACCACTTCCTTGTGTAGGTTTGTTCCAATGGTTAATCACCTTCACTTAGGGTGACCAGATGTCCCATTTTTATAGGGACAGTCCTTTTTTGGGACTTTTTCTTATCTAGGCGCCTATTACCCCCCACCCCCTGTCCCGTTTTTTCACAGTGGCTATTTGGTCACCCTACCTTCACTTAAAAATGAGCTCCTTATTTCCAGTTTGAGTTGTAGCTTTAGCTTCCATCCATTGATTCTTGTTATGCCTTTAGCTGCTAAATTAAGGAGCCCTTTAGCATACCCAGTATTTTCTCCTGGGGAAGGTACCCCACTCTTTTTCTGTAGAACTCTATTTCCTCATGCTCAACTAGCCAGTTAGTGTCCCTTTGATCTATCAGCCACATTTCCTCAAATGTATCCACTACATGAAATGGGTTTTAAGCAAAGCTGATTACTTTAGATGGCTCTATCCCATTCTACTTCCAGTCATGTACATAGGATTGTTTTGCCATTGACTTCAGTAGACAGGACATCACTTACCTGCAAGCAGAATACAACCCTACATATCTTTGGCTGTTACTCAGGCAGAAGATATCCACCCCAAAGAGGAAATTTGCCACCATTCCTCCCCTTCAACTTACCTGGCATCTGCCTTCTAACCTATAAGTAGGTATTTCTGGCCAACTTCTAGCAATACAGAGATCATGGGAAGAAAGGCGTATGTACCATGTGTATGCAGCTCACCATTGCAGCACTTGTACACAAACAGTGGTGGCATACTATAGTCAATGCAGTTGTTTGAGTGAGGTCTGGGTCCGTGCAATCTCTGGGTCACTCACAAATCACAATATTACTTCAGCCTAGAGGTGAATGGTCAGCTAGAAGAAAAGGTGGAGGAAACAGAGCGCCTTGGTCCTTTTTCTGTTCTCTCCCCATGCCCCCAACTGCCAGGAAAACTCCACAGAGGGGTTAGCTGGATAAATAAGGCTTACAGAGCCTCCCTCCTAAAGGACCCAGCATCTTTGAAGAAGCTCCCTAAAATAACCCAGGATTTCTATTCTGTCCCTTTCCCTGTTGAGGCTTTGGACTGTTATCCCACTGGGGGAGCAGGAGAGGAGACAATGCAGGAACACCACTCTTCAGTTGTCTTCTGAAGTCAATGTGTTTGGATCTGGATAATGCCCAGCCTTCCCTGACTACCACCATTTTTAGCTCTGAAGCCACCTCAGATGAGTATCTGCCCCTTAAGGATGGGAACTAATGGATATCTGAAATGAAAATTATCATTAAGATCACCTCAGAAGCCAGAAGAGGAATCAAGGCTGGCTGTCATTGGCGGGTGAGGGGAGGAAGAGGGCAATGTGACAATATCCTCAAATGGTGGAATCAGTGTTCACCTTCAGCTGCAGTTCTGGCCCTGTCTGGGAATGTATAAACTGGATTCTACCTTGCAAGACAGCTAGTTTGCATGTGAAGTTGTTGCTGCCTATTCCAAGACAGCTGATTTCCCTCAAACTCTCATATTTTGAAAATGAAAAGAGGTAAGATTTGAATTTTTGTAGTGGGTCATTATAAAAATAAGAACCAACTTAATGCAGGACTGAGTAGTGCAGCTATATCTTGTACGGTTGACTAAATATATCCAGCAGTTTAGACACCTTAACTTTCTCCCTCTTTGTCCTTCTCCCTCCCCATGCCAGCAAAAATCAACCTCAAAGCTGCAGTGCATCAACAGTACATGGGGTTGAGATTCTTTCATATGTGAGCTCTCCTTGCTCTTGCCTGTGAATTTACATTCCCTAACTCTCAACTGTGGCCATGCTGTCTATGGCGGCTAAAACTCTAGAACCAAATTAACTCTAACAGTTGTGGGCTGAGTAGATAGCTATTGACCCAAATTAGTGACTCAGACCATTAAAAAAACAAACACCTATGGTAAGGGCTTACTCCTCAATCTCCATCTTGTCCACATCTGAAACAGGCCACTAACCATTCTAAAGGGAAAGTGAAGATGGCCCTTCGTTCTTAGACTTTTTACAAGAAAGAGGGTTAATTTCACAGCAATTGTAGAGTTGGGATCTGAGAAGTACTGAATGTCAACTCTGACTTCACTGAGGCAAATTTAGCCCTTCCAGAGTGGAGCACCTATAATACTGAATCAAATATAGTTACATATTCTAGCCCATCGTTACTCATAAAAATTATGCAAAAACAATACCAATACTGTCAAAGTAATATTTTTCCACAGAGATGACTGCCTAAAACTGTCTTCAGTTTGTCAAATTTCTAATATGCTGCGTTTCCAGTACATCACAGCACTTAACACTCAAAAGGGAGATTGTGAAAGAAACTGCCATTACTTTATAGTGTACATTGAAATAAACTGATTTTAAAATCAAATGTTTTGCCTTCAGTTCTGTTTTTAAATTGAACATCAATATTATTGTAAATTGTACTTATGCCTCAAGCATTCTGTCAGGCACATTAAATAAAATAAAGCAAGGCAACAAAAACATTTAAAATAGTCTAACTAGAAAGAACATCTTCAGGGTTTTTTTTTTTTTAGCAATGTTTAATTTTAGCAGGCTTTTATCACAAGCTTCTGCCTATATCAAAAACCTTAATTATCTATATAATAGTCTTGTGCTAAACATAGTTAACATTGTGTGGCATACTGTCTGAAAATTATTCTAGCTTCCTTAAAGAAGAGCAAGAAAAATGTTCAGGGGTTTGCAGGGAATGTTTTAGAAAGAAAAGTTAATGCCCCCTATTGGCTTCAATTCTGCTTTGCGTAGACTAAAGGAACTGCCTGCACAAAACAGCTTGCAGGATTGGGACCTAAGAAGGCAAATATATTGATTGTGGTGAAGAAATGACAGTGGGGAAAGACACTATTATGGTTTATGACTACCTAAAGGTTTAACACCAAGAAGAGAGAGAAAATACTTAGGATGGTAAAATGGGCTTACGATTGAGCCATGGGATGAAACAGAAGAAAATTCAGGTTGAAAGTCTAAGAGGAAGAGGTGTTACGCTGTGGAATTACTTTCCAAAAAGTATAGGAGGTTCCAGCCCACGGGACACTTAAATATAGACTTAACACTGGCTCATTCCCCTCACAAATAGAACAGACAACAGCTAGGTCTATCTAGGTGAAAGACCTGTGCTTGAGTATTGCTCTATAAATCCTCATCAAGAATGGGAAAATGCAGAGACACTCAGCTACAGCTGATTCTTCTGGTAGAGTTACTTCAGGCCCAGAAGAATGGGCAGCGTGTTCCAAGACAACACTTTTTACCTGCAACTCCCAGTTAGTCAACACTTGAGCTAGGATGCGACTCCCAAGACTGCTCCCAGTAAGACATCTGACACAGCACTGACAGCCCATCCATGACTGCCAAAATCAACTTAGCACCGATAGCTGCGCTGGTGATGAATGCCAGCACCGCCACCTCCACACCAAGACAAGGTAGAGTAGAACAATGGACCAATATGATTCCCAGAACTGAGTTACCTCTCCTAAAAATGGGAAAAGCAGAAAGGCCTAAGAGCCCTTTGCTTTCAGTATCCCCTTGGGTTGCGAACTGAGTATAAATCCCTTTCATTATATGGGTCAGCTGATGAGGGATTGAATTCCAACCTAGTATCTGTTAGTAACAAAATCCTCCTACCACTTTCTCAGTACCAAAGCTGGTAATATTGACACCTGAGCTGGCATTTACAACAGAAGCCCTAACCTCCATCAAACTCTCTGTTGTCAGGCATCACTACTACTCTCGTACCAATCTCTGTACCAAAAATACTAGGAGTGGGTGCCAAGAGTAAACTAGTACTGACACCATCACCTTTAGGAACACATCTACTTCTCTCCTCCTTCCAGTCAAGATCCTTCCCCAATAACCCACCATAAAAACAGAGATCTGGGAACGGTTCCCCTGAGATGAGGGCCACTCATTTCTAAGCATCAGCTTAGTCCTCCATACCTCTGGCGCTGGTCTAAACAGTCCAATCAACCCTACCTTTACAATCTTGTACCATGGTAATTCTGGCCTTACTGACATCCACCCTCAAAACTGTCTAGAAATAGATCTCCCTCTCACTCACTGTGCAAGCAAAGGTTGCACAATTCTGCAATTTCAATACTCCTTCCTGAGACCACCCAAGTCCCCTGGCCTTAAGATTGTTAGAGGGCCACATGAGGAAGAGGCAGGTTCCAAAGCTCTAGACCAATATAGGCCAATCTCTTCTCAAAGATCCCTCATCATCACTGCCTGACGAAGTAGTCTCCACTCCAATACCAGCTTTTAGACCTTTTCAGGGGCTGCTTACTTGGTTAGTAATACCTATTAAAGGCATATTGGGACCCCCCATAAATCTCTGGCATACCTCAGCTGCCTTAGCCCACACTTGCAAAGCAAGCAAAGATTTCAAGCTTTGCAGAAAATATTTGAACAATTTTACTCCCAACGTGGGTCATAGATCCCTGGTGGTCTCAGCAATCCACGAGAAATCCAGACCACCTTGCCCAGTGAAGTCTACTCCCAAAGACAGCCCATAAAAAGCTCAACATCTTTGTGGGAAAAGGCTTATTCCACTGACTCACTCTAGTTGTGACTAGCAAATTAGCAAGCACTATTTGCTCAGTATGAAAAACTGGGACAAAACAACCCTTTATGTCTAACTTCAAGATGCTAGTGAGGAACTTAAGGCAATAATATCCGAAGGTCAGTTAGTGGCAAAAACATGCAAGCAGCCATGGATGCTTTGGTTTTGGTAATTACATCCATGGCCACGGTAGTCACAATGAAGAGCGTGTTGTCAGGTATCCCATAGGAGATACAGAATAATATTGAAGACTTGCTCCTTGAAGGCACAGACTTATTTAACACTTGTTCTGAAGACTATTTGCATTCACTGAAGGATTCCAGAGCTGCTTGACAATCCCTTGATATTTACAGTCTGGGCCTCAAGGAAAAAACCCTTCAATTATCCAAGACAGACCAGTCAGAACACCCACTATTCTTAACAACAGCCTGCTGATTACCCCCAGGAAGAAGCCTAGGTTATCCCAAAGGAGAGTACTATCATCTCCAGCACTAGCCATCCTGCTTCATCATCCAGGCACCAGGCTTGACATACGGGAAAAGTCACAACTCAGCCAGTACAACTCAACCAGACACTCTCTTTCTCTCTCCCCGCAAACACTTCACATGCTGCCTTTCTTTATTTCCTCCATCTTAGACTAGAATTACTAATGACAAATGGGTACAAGAAGTCACCTCCCAAGAGTATGCTCTTCAATTCCAGTCTCTGTCCCTCTGCTTCCTTGGTGACCCTTCTCATGAAATCCCAATTACTGAAAAAGTAGTTTCCTTACTCTGGCTAGGGGCCATAAAAGGGGACCTTTTAGAATTCAGAAGAAGAGGTTTTAATTCCCAGTATTTCCTCATTACACTGAAGCGAGTCTTTGTCCTGTCCTATATACAAACATATATGCTATTTCAGATTCCGGATGGTGACTTTAGCCTTCCTCCCTTCATTATAAGCTGAAACTTGTGGCTCCTGACCTCCAAGACACATACTTCCATATCAAAATCCTTCCAGCCCATAGGAAATACTTGCAATTCACAGCAGGGCACAACCACTATCAATACAAAATCCTGCCATTTGGTCTCTCCACAACACCAAGAGTTTTCACAAAGTGCCTACCAGTGTTAGCAACACATCTGGAGATAGGGTGTTCATGTCTACCCATACCTAGACGATTGGCTAATTAAAGGCATTCCCCCATCAGGAGTTCTCCATGGCCCTTGATTCTGTCCTTCTATTCAAAGAGAAACTATAGCAAATTATCCATCACAAATGAGAATTCATAAGAGCTCTAATGATTCCAAACCAGCAAATGCATACCTTTCTGAGGAGATATTTCAATCTATCCGGACAATAGTATTCACCATCAAATTAATTCCATCTACCACATTGAGAACTTGCCTCAAACTCTTAGGCCACATGACAGATTGCATTTATGCGATGCTGCTAGCCAGATTATAGGGATAGCTGAGGTTGGGGGGTATTGCCCTTCAAGACATCAGATGTTCATGCATGTTGTAGTTTCAGTTAATCTAGCACTCAACTTGTGGACAGATTGTCAAAATACCTTCAAAGGGGATCCCGCCTTCTCCATGTATAAAGTCACTGATCACAGATGCTTCCAGTACAAAGTGGGTGCTCACCTGGACCAATGTCAGATACATGGTCTCAGGAACAGATAAGACATTTACATGTGGTCTCAGGACAATCAGGCTAGTATGCAAAACTTTCCATTCAGCCTTAAAGAATTTCACCATATTAGTCCTCATGGACAGCACATCAGCATGGTATTCGGACAACAGTATTTGTGCAAACAAGCGAAGAGGTGCTTGTTCATTGTTTGCATGCGAAGAGGCAATCAAATTTTGGAAATGGTATCAAGTCCATGGGATAACTCCAACAGACCTTCATTTCCTGGAACTCAACAATTTAGCAGATTTTTTCACCAGACTGCTATCATTCATGCATGGAGGGTCCCATCAGACTAATATTGGAGGGTCCCATCAGACTAATATTCCACCAGGGTGTTACCCCTATCATGGATCTATTTGCCACAAGAGAACACAAAATGCCCAATGTTTTGTTCCTGGGTGGGAATGAGCCCACAATCCTTACAAGATACTTTCCTCATCTCTTGGACTCAAAGTCTCACACAGTCAACTTGCGTAACTCGTTGCCAGGTGATGTTGTGAAGGCCAAAACTAGAATGCAAAAAGTGTACTAATACACTAATACTAATACCCATACATATAATTGCTCTCCCCATTCATCATTAACCCAAATAATTAAACTGAAAATTTTCTAAAAAAACCCAACTACTTTGATTATTAGTTTCAACCTGAAAGGACAGCAAAGGGTTTTTAAAAAATTTAACAAGAAAAAAAAGAGAAAATTCTGTGTCTGGCTGGCTTTAACGAGTCCTATGACCTGATTTCCCCCCCCCCCGTCTCCCAAGCAGCCAGCCTATAGGTGTTCCTTAAGCACCTGTGTAAAAGGATTTACTAAAGTTGGCCCCTTGTTTACTGGTGAATAGGTAGTGCTCCTGCATCCTAGGACATTACGCTATGGAAACACTTTAAAATACAGTTGTTTTAGGATGTCAGTATCTTATTTGCTCTTAAATTCTTGTAGAAAGCAAGACAGTGTGACAGTGTAAGGGCTGAAACCTAGCAGAATTACTTATTTTGTTGAATGTTTGTGGAGGGCAGGATTACAGAGGGGCATGCATTGCTGTCTGCTGCAATGAGGGATGGGAAGAAGTGGAGAAGCAGCTTGCTGAGGTGCACGTGGTCACAGTGTTCATTGTCTGTGTGTAATTGGACAAAAAAGTGTAAGAAAAACATACTCGACTTCTGAGACAGTATGGGCTATAAATACTCAGTATCTCCTCACCGCCAGCTAGGTTACATACACAAAATCGGTTTACTTGATTTTGTGTGCAAAATCGGTTTACTTGATTTTGTGTGGCTGACAAAGATTTCACTTATTCACAAGTGGGATTGGTGAACACTTGCAAACTTTAAGGAAAGTTTCTAAATCATACTTAATATTCTAGGACTGACTCTTCTGTGTGACCTTGAAGAAATCAAACTGTTGCCTCTTAGATGACAAGTTATTAGTAATCCCAGAGATGTATAGGTACACAAACATGATTCTTAATGCATTTTAACTAAGGAGGCAGTATAGACCCATGACTAAGACACTGAAGTAAAGTTAAGAACTGACTTCTGTTCCTACCTCTGCTATTGGTTTGCTATGTGATTTTGGGCATGTGACTTCACTCTGTCCCTCAAAATTCTCTTTTGTAATATGGGGATGATACTTCTTATCTTCATAAAGCACTTTGACAGCTATGGCTAAAAAGACCAATATAAGGGGCTAAATAATGTAATACATTATAATAAAACTAAGAGCACAGAAAAACCCTTCCCACTGTGCAAGAGCACTAGAGTTAAGGAAGGTGCAGGAAGACACTGGGAAATAAATGCTTCTCCTGGGACTCGGAGTAGCAGATCACATACCATTTGTTTTGCACATATCTAGTTAGACATGTAGTTTTTCTTAATAAAACATACACGCTACTAACATGGATAGTGACATGTAATTTTTTAGCAGCAGCTCCTACAGCAATTCAACCCCACACCGGGATTTTTGCCAAACTTGAAAAAGGTCAACATACCAAATAGTGACACTTCACCTGCTGTTGAGATCAATAAAAGCTTTGGATTTTATGGCATGCAGACATGCTGCAGAAATATTTAAAGCCACCTTCATCTTCAGTCACCCAGATGTTGATATAAGCAGGATTTTTCATGAATGACTTGACTTTATCACTAGATTTGAAAACATGGCTCTTAAATTGCATGTGAGGGTCCTCAGTGCACTTATTGGTCTCTTACCCAAGCGTACCCCCAAGGCAATAAGAAAGAATATTAAAAATAGCACCTGCTTCTTAGACAGTCAAGGAGTGAGCAGAAGAAGCCAGTCCTCCTGAAGCAGATCTTTTGCATGACAATCCAGCTGTTCCTGCGCACATCCTAGATGAAGACTTGTTTAGGAGTTCACATCTTTTAACTTCCTAGTTGAAGTTTACATTTGATTTATCTTCACCTAAACAATTATTTGTACCATCATCTCTCTCAATTTCATGGTAACTTAGTAAGTACAGATGTGCATTCAATTAATATTAGAAAGTCTATGACTTTCTTTGCAGCTAACAGTAGTTATTAATGTGAGCTTGACCTTACAGTTTAGCCACTATGACCTAAAAATTAATTTTCAGACTATTATTTTGCCTTAGAGACAACAGCACAAACTATGCATTCACCAGCTAATTTCCATCCTACAAAATACTTTTCAAGTGACCCTCATCCCCTTCCGCCCCCCCCCCCAACTACGTATTCTGCAAATAAGGGTTTGAGAAGCTGGAATACACTATTTGTAATATTTCATTACTCCCCTGATTAATCAGCTTCTTCAATTCAGTCACCACATGCACACGCCACTTTAATAAGATACAACATATAGTTTCTAAATGCCATGGGCTAGAGATCCCTGCTGCATTAGAACGTGAGTAATCATAACTCTATGTAAGCATTCTGTCATCAGGGATCTTCTATTTCCAGGGCTTGGGACAGCATGTTACACAGTCGGGCTTGAAATGTCACCTAGGCTGGTCACTGACCACTTGCTGGAAAGGATCTTTTTATGCATAAGGTACAAGGGGAGTAGTTCTTGCCCCAAATCAGCCCTAGTTTAAAACTGTTCACTTTTTTTCCTCAATAGCTGGCCCAAGAAAATGTCAAATTTGGAAATAAAACCATTCATCCCCAGTGAAGGTAGCGGACAAAACAGCCAAGTGTGCACTAATGGGACTCCCCACACACCAATCTCCCCCCACGGGGATTTCTCGAGCCAAAAATCTAGCTGGCTCCTAACGGGAACAAAATGCAAACAAGGGGGAAAGTATCACAGGAAACAGTAACTGAGGCGGAGTCCATGGAGCCAGCAGCCGGCCGGCCGACACCCGCTAACGGCTTGCAGGGCTGGCTGAGCGTGGCCCGAGGCTGCTGACAGGAGAATGATTAAGAAAGGGAAGCGGGTCGGTTTTCCCGGCTCCTCCCCCAGTCCCGTTTCCACCGGGCCACCTCCCCGACCCCCGCACACGCCACAGCAGTATCCGCCGCCGCGACGGCCTCGCTCCCGCTACTTCGCGCCATAGCGAAGAAATTGCCCCCTGCGCCGGGCCCGTTGCCCAGGCGTCACCACGATCGCCCCGCTTCTCGCTACAGGGGCCGGCCCGGCTGGCTAGGGGAACAGGCCGCTTCTCCCGCGCTAATCCGGCTCCCCGCCGCCGGGCTGAGCCGGCCGGCACCCCCCGCCCCTCCGCAGCCATCTTGAGGGCAGCCCAGGTCTCGTCCCGACTGCCGCGGTGGGGCCGGGGTGTTCGCGGCGGTGTCGCGCAGCCAACCCGGCCCCGGGGCGGCAGGGCCCATCCACCCCTGGGGGCAGGCCGGGGCCGCGGCCGCTCGACTCGATGCTCATTATCGGAGCTTTGCCATCCGCCTCCAGCGCGGCTGGGTCTTAACGCCCCGCCCCCAACACCATGGCGCCGGCGCCCCGAACTTCACGCACGGCACGGACCCGACGCACGCTAGTGCAATCACGTGGTGGTGGAATCACGTGACAAAGAGCGGAAGCGGCGCTGCGACTCCTTCTTCCCCTCCCCACCCTGTGGGTTCGAGGGTCCCCGCGCTGGATGCGCCGCGCCCCTCCCCCGCTGTCGGCGATGGGGTGGGGGTGGGCGCGCGCGGCGGGCGAGAGACTGAGGCAGCGCGCGCGGGGGCTGGAGGCGCTGCGGGAGGCCTGCCGCCAGTACCCGCTATTCTGCTGCATCCTGCTGGGACTCAGCGCGGCCACCCTCCTGCTGAACCGGTAACAGCCACCGCCTGGGCCCGCGTCCTTCCCTCTTGTTCCCCGCTGCCGCCCGCCCCCTTCCCAACAGCCGGCGGCTGCGGCGACCTCCGAGCGGCCGTTACTGGGGATGACACGGGGGGCCCGGGTGAGGGAGCAGGGCCGACGCTCCTCTACTTGTTGGCCGGGGCCCGTGGGGGCTGTTTGTCTACGGCGGGGCCGTTCGGCCGGGAGCGGCGCTGGGGGCAGCTCTCCGGACCCGGCTGGGGAGGGCGGGGCGGGAACCGGCTTCCTCTGTCCCACGGGCTGCGCTGACGGGAGCTCGCCCGAGAACAGCGACAGGCGCCCCACCGAGGTAGCTGCGTGGCGCCGTCAGCCCTGTTGCTGTGGCCGGGGGCGGGGAGAGGCCGTGACTGATCAGCCCTCCCCCAGTACCCGCGGTCGGGAGTAGCTGCCCTGACACAGCTCAGGCACGTTGGGAAGCGGGGAAAATGAGGACTTAATTCAGATCGTTTCCAGTTTATCTCATTGACTTTAGAGGAGAGGCGGCAAACAGCATCCGCTCCTCTCCTCCTCTTAGTCCGCCTCCCTCCCAGAGGCAACGTATTAGCGGCTAGCAATTCAAGGAAAAATTTGTAGTGAAGGGTCAAACTGTGTGGGGGAGAGGGAGCCAGAAAGCGACACCCTCTGCTTTTACCCTTCCATGACCCCACGCTTGCTTCACATGCCCATTCATACTCTTGTCAGCCAGGAGGGGGATCTTCCTTTTTCTTGACCTATCCTGTGAATAAATAACTTTGGGGGTCAATATCAGTGAGTTGTTATAGTGCTCCCAGCGTGTGATTGCATAGTCTCTCTGTTTTTTGGTGGTTCTCCTTTCTTACCTCAATCTCCAGAGTGTGTGCATTACAATCCAGAATAGCAGCAATATACCCATCCCCAAATTATTAAACATAAATTGTATATGGTATGAGCAACAGTTATTTCTAAAGTAACGAGTACAGACTTAATAAAGTCCTGGTGCTGATTCTGTGCTGGGCAGGGCTTTGGAGCTGTGCTCCGGCTCCGCTCCAGCTCCAGGCAAAAACCTGCAGCTCCACTGCTCTGTAGCTGCTCCGGGCTCCGCTCCAAAGCCCTGCAGGGCACACATGCTTACTTTTTGCCCTGAGGCATTTTCAGTGTGAGACTTACTGATAAAACTAGACCTACTGGGAGACTTAGGCCTTATCTACACTGCCACTTTACAGCACTGCAACTTTCTCACTCAGGGGTGTGAAAAAATACTCCCCACTCCCCCTCCCCTCCCCCAGCACTGCAAATTTCAGCGCTGTAAAGTGGCAGTGTAGACAGTGCACCAGTGCTGGTGCCGCGACTACACAGCTACATTAAAGTGCTGCCGCGGCCGCACTTTAATGTTGCTAGTGAAGACGTGCCCTTAGAGGAGGGTGCTAGTTTAGGTTTCTTAAAATTTAACAAAAAGTTCCTGGACAGAAAAACACTTATCCGCTACATCGAGCACAGCTCTACAAGAGGTCATTATGATACTGACTAAAAAGCATCCATTACTATACTCACTACTTGTTTACATTTATTTTAAACAATTCCCACAGAGCATCAAAGGTAGAGAGTGCTGTGTCCCTATACAAAATTAGTATTCAGACTCGCCATTTGTCATAGTAGGGTTAAAATTCATATTTTAATGCTTAAAAGGTACTATTAAGTAAATGTAAAATATTATATTAACTTATTGGATTGTCAGTCAATATCAGAACAGGAAAAGATTAGGTGTGGTCTAGTCTGAACATAGATCTGCAGGCCAGTACCCACCCCTCAGAGGTGTTGTGGGGCTTAGTTATATTTGTAATATGCTTTGAAATAATGTACTATATTAGTATTGCTGTTTTATTATTCCTGTCTGTGGATGAGTTCACCTTAGATTTACGTAACTGGCAGCTCCAATCATTGAGATAAGACTCTGTTCATGAACACACAAAGCAGTGGTTCTCAAATTTTTTGTATTGGTGACCTCTTTCACACAGCAAGCCTCTGAGTGCAACATCCCCCCTCTCCCAGTGGCTGTCTGTGACCCCACCTGGGGCTGACAGCTCACGACCCCCATGTAACCACTTCTTGACCTCCTGACCTGTTGCGACTCCCAGTTTGAGAACTCCTGAGATAGAGCTAGGTGTAATTTCTGGTAGAGTAGTCACTAAAAGAAATACTTGTGTTCATATTATGTTCTGAAAAATTCTGCTGTAAACATACCATATGGTATTGTCTACCTTGTTATACAGATTTTTTTTTCTCTTTGTTTACAAGGTATCTTCACATTTTAATGATCTTCTGGTCATTTGTTGCTGGCGTTGTCACATTCTACTGCTCATTAGGACCAGATTCTCTCTTGCCAAATATACTTTTTACAATAAAATATAAACCCAAGGTAAATTTAATTTTTTCTTTGTAGTATTTGTTTAATTTTTCTCCATTTATTTTGTAGTAATATGTACAAACAGTAATTTTAGAAAAACGTTATGCTCTATTAATGTAACAGTGGTGAATGCAGTTAATATTAACTTGTAACTTCCTATAATGTACAGTCCTCAGATACAAATGAAGGCTTTAATCTTGCAAATATTTGGGTTGAACCCAGTGGAACTATTTACATGTGTAAAGTTAAGTGTGTTTGCAGAATTAGGGCCTTATTACTTAAGGGCTTGAAATATGCAGTCGTCAGTGTTGGCAATTCAACTGCTGCCTGTATAATGCTTTTAGAGTGTCTGTAGTAGTTGGATTTTTTATTTTTTTTAATCCTGAGCCTGCATGATAACGTGATGCTTGTAAAAGAGATGCATTTCCTTTGACAAAATGAATTCAGAATATATCTTACTGGCCATACTCAGCCTCCTTTACATGAATTTGAAAGTTTCAAAGAAAGAAATGTCAATTCTAAATCACCTTTCTGCTGAATTTAGTACAATGTTTTATGTTGATAGGTTAGTTTTAATCTGTTTTCTTAAATTCAGTTGCTTCCATTTGGTACTTTACTAACTTAATTATCTTTGTATTCACCCCTCCCCCCCCCACCACACACACACACACAAAAGAAAAAAGAAAAAAATCAAGCAATCTATGATATTTTGTGCAATTTAGTTTTAATTTAATCACATACAGTAAAAACAAATTTGCTAATGCATAAGTGCATTGAGAAAGAGGATTTTGAAAAACTGAGACTTCTTAAATACTTTCTCTTTCTTAGCAATTAGAACTGCAGGAGCTATTTCCCCAAGGTCACAGCTGTGCTGTATGTGGTAATGTCAAATGCAAAAGGCATAGGTAAGTTAAATATTTGGCATTTCTTATCACAACAGTTCTTACATTTTGTACTTTGGGGTGAGAGAACCTTCTATTAAATGTTGTATTCTCTCTCTTGGTTTCTTACAGACCTGCATTGCTTCTGGAAAACTACCAGCCATGGTTGGATCTACAAGTGTCTTCCAAGGTTGATGCCTCTCTCTCAGAGGTATCTTATTTAATCATCAATTAATGTTAATTATTTGACATGATTTCAGTGCATTGAAATCCAAAACTACTAACGTTTTGTCATTCAGATCTCTCCTTAAAACTCATCATTACTTTTGGACATCAGAAGTGAGTCCGTCACAATTCTTGTACACCTCTACCCCGATATAATGCTGTCCTTGGGAGCCAAAAAAATCTTACTGTGTTATAGGTGAAACCGCGTTATATCGAACTTGCTTTGAGCCTCCAGAGTGCGCAGCCCCGCTCCCCCGGAGCGCTGCTTAACTGCGTTGTATCCGAATTCGTGTTCTATTGGGTCACGTTACCTCATGGTAGAGGTGTATGTGTTAAACAATATGAAATCAAGGAGGAATAGAGAGATTATATTACTGCTGTATTTTGCATAAGTGCAACTGCTTCTGGAATATTGTGTCCCATTTTGGTGTCCACAATTCAAAACGGATGTTGAAAAATTGGAGAGTTTAGAGAAAAGCCATGAGAATGATTAAAAGACTGGAAAGCATGCATCATAATGAGACCCTCAGGGAGCTCAATTGGCTTATCTTGTCAGAAAGAGAGTGTGTGACAGTCCCCTGGTGTTATCTGGACTGGTGATCTGCTAGGTCACTCCAATCCTCGACTCGGGGAGGCAGCCTTACCCTGCTCTGCTGTGAGAACCCCCACTCCCGGGCTGTTCGCACACAGCCTCTATAGCATGTAAGCTGCTCGCAGCTAAGTGAATGAGCACTTTTGGCCAGTCGCTTGGATTGTGCAACCGAATGACACTGGCCAATATCTCCAGTCAGACACAACCCTAGGAACCTCCGTCTTGCAGTGTCCAGTTATGCCCGCTGCAAGCTTATGAGTTCATCAGTTTAACAAAGAAATTAATATGTACCAGGCTTGTTATCCCAAGGGGCGTCTCGGACACACTTCAAACCAAACGCCCTGCTTCAGATAGAATAAACAAACAAATTTATTAACTACAAAAGAGAGATTTTAAGTGATTATAAGTCAAAGCACAAGAAGTCAGATGTGGTCAAATGAAATAAAAGCAAAACTCATTCTAAGCTGATCTTAACACTTTCAGTGCCCTTACAAACTTAGATGTTTCTCACCACAGGCTGGCTGGTTGCCCTTCAGCCAGGCTCTCCCCTTTTGATCAGCACTCAGTCGCTTGGTGGGGGTGTCTGTAGATGGAAGAGAGAAGAGCATGGCAAACGTCTTT